GCTAAAGCCTGGCCCTTTGCTTCTGTCCAGAGAACTCTCTTGAGTCGATAATCCCTTCAAGAAAAGAAAATAAGAACATTTTTCTGCATGATTTACTCAGATGGATTTAGACAATAATTTGTTTTTGCATAATTTGCTCGTAAATTCGGTTCGTTTTCGCATAATTTACTCCAAATGAAATGCAATGTGTTGCAGAGAGACGCGCCAACGTTCAAAGCACGTGTTGGTTGTAATCAGTGCGAGGATTGTCGAATGCCCGACTGTCAAATATGCCTCGTTTGTCTAGATAAAAGGTCAGCTGGAACTTGGTATTTAGTGCTTACAAGAGGATTGGACCCGATCATTGAAACAGTCAATCCTTTAACAATTCAAATTCATTCATTTTGATAGTAAATTGATATTTGCATAAAATACGGAGTCAAACCTGCCATCAGCTTGCCTTAAACAACCTTCTAAGGAAGGGGAGCCATCGGCATCACTGCCTGCAGCTGATTACTGTCGCTAATTTGTTTTTCGCAGAAAGCGAATGCGGAAGGGAGGGGATTGTTTGTCAGTTTTTGGATGGGATTTACAAGCTGATGGAATATTTTGAATTAATTTTATCAAAAAGTATCGGTTTTTCTACTGTATCGATAAATATGTTAAAGCATGTAGAAAGGTATCGAAGAATCTGGCACAGCTGACCAAGGTGTATAAAAGCATTCTAGTAATATCACTAACGTAGGAAACTGACACTGATAGCTCTGGGTGGAGGGGGGGGGAAGAAGTCTAGAAATTCTGAAGTGTTTTTCGGAATTCTGTTTCCCAGTACTCGAGATTTTTTTTTTTTTTTTTAAGATTTTTCGATAATCGCTACATGACTGGTGCAATGTGCGCGAAGAAGCGTTGCAATAATGCAACGAGCATCGAACTGCCCGCAGCACAGAACGCCGACCTACGATTGGTACCAATTTTTCGTTTTCCAGAACAGACGATTTATGTGCGCCTTGCTCCTTCTTTTGACTAGTTTCTGCTATAATGTGTTTTCTTTGCAAACAAAGCTTTGTG